CATACCGTTTTACTTTAGAAGTTTAGACTCATGCTAGAATGGGCTTTGAGCCCAAATAAGTGCAATAACGGATCTGAAAAGCGGGTCGGGTTTAAGAAAGATCCATGAAATGTGAGGCAGAAAGCGAAGGTTTTATGAAGGGTTTATTCGGCGGCTGTACTTCACGGCGCCTTCTCTCACGTTTTCCTCCAGATCTCTCTCTCTTTCTCTTCACTCAACTCTGAGTTTTACAATTTACAGGTTTCTTCTGACTCTGTTTATCGAAATCTCCAGTCTTTGATTTCTATATGCGTGTTTTGGTGTTTCTCTTGCGATCACAAGACGGTTGAAGAAAAATGTGGAGGAACATTTTTGGTCGAGCTTCTCTGAGAAAGATCAAAATTTTCTCCGATTCTAGCTCCGGCACTCACTTTCCGGTGAATAGAATCCGTGGAATCTTTTCGTCGGTTGATCTCGGTGGTGTTAGAAATGGGTTATCGATAAACCCAATTCACGAATTGAGAAGATTGAGCTCATTTCAACACTACTCGTTTAATGGGTTCGCTACAGCTGCACAGGCGATAGATTCGACTGATCCTGAAGATGATTCTTCTGGGTCTGAAGAAGTTAACGAATTGATGTCGGAAATGGGGAAAAAAACTGAGAGAATACGGAAAAAGGCAAGGCTTGCAGCGAAACAACCAAAGAGAATGGTTGCCGGAATGGGATATCAGAAATACTACATGCTTAAGCAAAGACAAGTGAAAATGGAGACAGAAGAATGGGAAAGAGCAGCTAAAGAGTGTCGTCAGATTCTAGAAGATATGTGTGAGCAGAAGCTTGCACCGAATCTACCTTATGTGAAGTCTCTGTTTCTCGGATGGTTCGAGCCTCTTCGTAACGCGATTCAAGCTGATCTTGATGTTTTCAAAGTGAATAAAGGGAAAATTCCTTATGCTCCTTATATGGAACAGTTACCAGCTGATATGATGGCTGTTATCACTATGCATAAGATTATGGGAATGTTGATGACAAATGCTGAAGGTGTTGGTACTGTTAAAGTAGTGTATGCTGCTACTCAGATAGGAGAAGCCATTGAGCAGGAGGTGTGTTTAATTCCTGATGCTATATCATGTGTCATTTGATACAAATTTTATTGGTCCCTGTGGGTTTAATGGTATGTGTGTATCTGGTTATTGGATCAGGCTAGGATCAACAGCTTTTTGCAGAGAACTACGAAGAAAAGGAATGCAGCTCAAAAGACGAACAGTGAGGAACCAGATGTGTATGCTTCAGGAGAGGCTGTGACCAAAGAACTGGAAATGATAAGGAGACAAGTTGATACACTGATGAAAAAAAAGAAGGTGAGGCAAGTAAGAGGAGTAGTGAAGGCACATGACTCATTCAAGCCATGGGGTCAAGAGGCTCAAGCGAAGGTTTGTTTTATTACTTCCACACTTGTTAATGCGAACGCGTTATAATAATGGTTATCTTTCTTCTCGTTTTTTAAATTCTCTGTGATCTAAATTTTGGCTCTTGCACTTCTAGGTTGGTGCACGTTTGATTCAGCTATTGATGGAAAATGCATATATACAACCTCCTGCCGAACAGCTTGATGACGGTGTACCTGACATCCGACCTGCTTTTAAGCAAACTATGAGAAATGTCACATTAGAACATACGTAAGAGTCTTATTATTCTGTTACTCATTCTCATGAACCTGTCTCTCACTCTCCTTGCCCCTCTGCTGCTTATATACATTCTATTGTGTTCTTCCTCAGAAAATGTAGCAGGAGGTATGGTTGCATCGAATGTGATCCTCTGGTCCAAAAGGGCCTTGACAAATCAGTAAGCAGAATTGTGGACTATGTTTTTGCTGTTCTTTTATCTGATATCAGCCATGTACCTTTGTGATGTTTAATCAGGCCAGACATATGGTCAACACCTACTTGCCAATGCTAATACCGTTTTCTCTCGTTTTCCTTATTTGAGTCTGAGACAATCTCTCAACTCTTTTCTCACTATTTTTCTATGTTTAATCAGGCTAGACATATGGTCATTCCCTACTTGCCAATGCTAATACCTCCCCGGAACTGGATAGGGTATGAGATGTTTTCGCCAATAATTAGGACTTATTATTGTTTCCTTGCTTACTGCTGCTAGATCCCCTTGATCTGGTTTGCTCCCTTCTGGGCATTTGTTCATGTGTATATGTATATGGCATGGATACAAGGGATACCTACAGTTTGCTTCAAGTAGGTTCCTAAAATTGCTATGTAACTTGACAGTATTTTACAGGTATGATCAAGGGGCACACTTTTTCTTACCTTCGTACATCATGAGAACTCATGGAGCTATGCAACAACGTAATGTAATAAAACGAACTCCCGAGGAGCAACTAGAGCCAGTATTTGAGGTTTGAGTTCCTTTACCTGTGTTACTAGTTAGTGTTGCTTGAGCTTAACCATCTATTGGATGCTAAGGGAAGAATTACGAGTTACTATGAATATTTTGTTGTATTAACAGATGAGTTCATGTGATTCCCTTTGTTTATCAGGCGTTAGATACTCTAGGAAACACCAAATGGAGAATAAACAAAAAGTTGTTAAGTTTGGTGGACAGAATCTGGGCTAATGGAGGTCGCCTTGGTGGTCTGGTTGACCGTGAAGATGTGAGATCTCGCTCTCCTTTCCTTTTTTTTAATCTACTTCTGGATCTTGTTCATCCGTATCTTGACATCTTCTTTTAAGAAGGAAGTAACCTTTGTTCATGCTTCTCCTTTACAAAATTTGAGTCTCATTTTAATTATTTTCTCGCCTCTTAATAAACTCCAAAAGGTACCCGTTCCAGAGGAGCCCGACAGTGAAGACCAAGAAGCAGTTAAGGAATGGAAATGGAAATTGAAGGATGCAAATAAGGAAAACAGCGAGAGACATTCACAAAGGTGTGATATAGAGCTCAAACTTGAGGTAAGAGAAGACTCTTTGTTGCAGTCCTTTTTGCTGCTCTGATTTATGAGAACATCATTGTACTTTGATTTGATTGAGCAGGTGGCTCGTAAAATGAAGGACGAGGAAGGTTTCTACTACCCTCACAACGTTGACTTTCGTGGTCGAGCATATCCCATGCATCCATATCTTAACCATCTCGGGTCTGACCTCTGCCGAGGCATCCTTGAGTTTTGTGAAGGAAAACCTCTTGGGAAATCAGGATTGCGGTGGCTGAAGATACATATAGCAAACTTATATGCTGGTGGTGTTGATAAGTTTGCTTATGAGGACCGGGTTGCGTTTACTGAGAGTCATTTAGAAGATATATTTGATTCTTCTGATAGGCCTCTTGAAGGAAAAAGATGGTGGCTTAATGCAGAGGATCCCTTTCAATGTTTGGCTGCTTGCATTAGCCTTTCAGAAGCCTTGAGAAGCCCCGTTCCTGAAGCAGCTATATCTCATATCCCCATCCACCAGGTATTCGCTAAATTGTATTGTCAGAAGTAAAAAATGTTGGTGGTAACTGACTTTTCAAAAATACTTTGTACATATTACATTGTTGGTGGCGTGAGTTAGACACTGGTTTCATATCACAATGTTTTCTTGTGTAATGTATTTTTTACCTGTGCGCATCATTTTAGCATAACCATGCTTGAATAACTTTCGTGACATTCCAGTGATATTAAAATTATTAGGCGCCTTTGTTCCTTTGAATTCATCATCATACATGCTCTTTAAGTTGATAGTCTTACTTTCTGTATTAATCTTTATTGCAAGGATGGTTCATGTAATGGTTTACAACACTATGCTGCTCTTGGGAGGGATAAGGTATGCCGATAGTCTTACAGTAACTATAGTTTTTGATTTGTGTACATCAATTCATATATAGGAGAATATAATTTTGCTCAAGGTTCTCTGGTTAATCTGTTTCAATTGGTTCTGTTCATAGTTGGGTGCAGCTGCTGTCAACCTTGTTGCAGGTGAAAAGCCGGCAGATGTTTATGCAGGAATTGCTTCTTGGTAATTTTTCTGCCTTTCTACCTCTTGGGCTCCAGTAACACTATAATCTGACCTAAAATTTTATTTGGTATAAAATCAGGGTTCTCGAGATCATGCGGCAAGATGCAGAGAAAGATCCTGAAACATTTCCAAATGCTACATATGCCAAACTCATGCTCGAACAGGTTTTTGACATCTCTTGCTTATTAAATTGGGTCACCTTCTGCCAAACATATTACCTGGCAAGGGGTTTTATGATGCCACCATATGGATCAGATGCACAACTACTAAGTTTCACTTTAATACTTCTTTATGAACATACTATCTGACATCAGTACTCTACTATTGAAAATCCTTAGGTTGACAGGAAGCTGGTAAAACAGACTGTCATGACCTCTGTGTATGGTGTTACTTATAGTGGCGCGCGTGACCAAATGAAGAAGAGGTTAAAAGAACGTGGTGCCTTTGCAGACGATTCACAGACTTTTCATGCAGCATGTTATGCAGCAAGAGTACGGATATGATAATTTACCTCAGTACCTACTTAGCTTGGGCAATTATATGCTTTGTGTGGCTGTATATTTTCTCCTGTTAATGATTTTTGGAGTTGGAACCAAATGTTCACTCCTCTATTGTTCTGTTTCTAGATCACTTTGAACGCATTGGAAGAGATGTTTGACGCTGCTAGAGCCATCAAGAGTTGGTTTGGTGAATGTGCAAAGGTCAGTTCTTGTATCCGTGATGCTCTTGTTGAGGCCCCTGCTTAAAAAATGACAAGTTTTGAAGGAATTTTCACTGGGCAATTGGTTACAACAATGAGAGCTGTTTTTTTGTGGTGGACAGATAATAGCTTCAGAAAACAAAGCAGTTTGCTGGACGACTCCTCTTGGACTTCCAGTTGTACAACCCTATCGGAAGCCTGGAAGACACTTGGTAATTCTTGTAACTTCTTTTATACATGAAGGAGCACAAATGATCAGCTGAAGAAACGGATTAGTCATTCTCTTGAATGTCACTGAAATTAAGAGACATAAATTTGTGCAGGTTAAGACTACCCTTCAGGTGTTGACTCTACATCGAGAGACTGAAAAGGTAACCCAACCAAATTTCATTCACTATAACTTTTCTCCATATTTTCCATCTAGTGTATATATGGCTCGACATTCTTATTTGAAGAAAGAGTAGGGTTTATCATAATGTAGCGTTTGGATAGGTTTGAAGATTTGATGAGTTTTAAGCAGAATTGTCTCATCATTCTGCACCATATTCGGTATATTTGGTTCAGGTCCAGGCGAGGAAACAGATGACAGCTTTCTCACCAAATTTTATACATTCTCTTGATGGGTCTCACATGATGATGACAGCAGTTGCCTGCAATAAGGCGGGTTTGAGTTTTGCAGGTCAGCTCTAGCCTTTCTATATGCATTTATGGATATAGATTTTTCATTCTATCTTCTATACTCTTAATACCGATTTCTAATTTGTAGGGGTGCATGACTCATTCTGGACGCATGCCAGTGATGTTGATATAATGAACAAAATACTCAGAGAGAAATTTGTCGAGCTCTACGAAAAGCCAATCTTAGAAAACGTAAAAGAATCTGCTTATTATATATTTCAAGGGGCTTACAGTTACCAACATTACATTTTTTTTTGTGTCTTCACTTTCTTATAACTAAACTCATGATGGATGGTTTTATCTTTTGTGTGTTGATAGTTGTTGGAGAGTTTCCAGAAATCCTTCCCAGGCCTAACTTTTCCGCCATTACCAGAACGAGGCGACTTTGATCTAAGGGAGGTCCTACGGTCGCCATACTTCTTCAACTAAGTTGCAGCACATTTAGGTTACTTTATATATTGGAAGCTTCAATACTCCATCTAACATTCAGGGGAAAGTAAGTTTGCTTCTTCTTGCCAATATAATAGCCACATTGATCAAAGAGGAAAGATTCTTTGCAACAGCAATGAGGAATGTTGGTGGTTAACCCTCAACTCAGAGGTAGGCTTGGGGTTCCTTGTAAATAAATATACAAAGAAAAAAGTGTTGGATCGCACAAGGGAAGGCGTTGGATCGGTGTATCGAACCAGTGGTGAGGCACTACATTACTTGCAGTTTCTCATAGACCACAGGAAAATGACCGAAAGACTCAGTTTCAGCCTGAGGAGTATTTTATGGAGTCGGTGTTGTAAAAAAACTATAAACCGATGCTAAATGAGAATCATTTAGATGGTCACATTTTTGATCGACGTGTAAGTTGTTTTTTAGATTATAGACACATTATGCATTTCAGGTTCAAAATTGTATAATGAGGTGAAGTAAGTGTAATAATTATGAAGCACATCAATACTGAGGTTGGTACTTGGTTCTATATAATAAGAATGGCCTAACCAATAAAAGAAATCAATTCGTTTGTTTCTGTTTACAAACATAACATATATACTAATAATACATACATACTCAATAGATGCTAAACCAGAAAACGCTTACAATTAAACTGCTAGATACGATCCACATTACAACATGTCTTTCATTCAACTCTTTAGACTTCTCTGGTTGAGAGACAGAAACTCGACGATCTTCTTTTTCGAGTCCAAATTGAGCAAATTCATCGCACCGTCCAGAATCTTTCTCTAAGTCGTCGATCGTTGACTTCATCATCTCGTGCTCTTTCTCTATTCCTCCCATTATTTCCGACACAGGAGAAAGTTTCCCCACCGCGAATTCCGCCTGTTTCTCTCATCAATCTCTCAACAAATCGTAACCTTCTCATAAGCTTAACAATAATCTCAACTAGCTTCAAAGCTACCCTCATACCATTTTTTTTTTGTGTGATATATTTACCAATGAGTAACAGCGGGTAAAAAGTAAAGTAAAACGGTAAAAATTCGATTTCTTTTCATGTGGTAAGACCAACCCAGTTCTTAAAGGCATTTAGGAATTCGATTTTCTTCATCTTCTTCTTCCTCAACTTTGGCAATCTGAGATTCTTTTGAGTCTCCATGAACGTTGCCTTGTACCTCCACCTATCCACGAATATCTTCATCTCCTGACATTTCTCTATCACTTGCATCGCCGTGCCAAAGAATCCTCCTTTGACCAACGCATTCAAGAACGCGTCCGCAAGAGCATGGTCTAGTTTTGCTTTCTTGTCTTTGAACACTTTCCACAAAACCACCACTTCGAAGTACTTCTCGCAGCTGACATATCCATTGATCAACGACAAGTATGTCTGGTGATTTGGCTCATACTGAAGGAAGGCCATCCTTCTAAACGTCCTCTTTCCGTCTTCCATTCGTCCAGATTTACAGAAGGCATGAATAATCGAATTCCAATCGTGGGACTTCACTTCTACGCGAGGATCTTCCTCAACTTCTTCCACAAACGCTGCCATTAACTCAGGTCTCTGATTCTCAAGGAGACCTGTCATGATTGTTAAGTAGCTCCCTTTTAAATCCGATATTTCTGTTTCTCTCATATCCCTAAACAATGTAAGCGCAGATAAATAATCCTGTTTCGTCATGGAAGCTTCGATCAAAGCTTTATAGGTCTCGACATCTAGCTGAACACCAGAGTTGCTGATCTCTGTAACCAGCTGAGTAGCTTCAGCTGTTCTGTTCTCTTTGCAATAGGCGTTCAAGATCGGTACATACACTCCGATTCCCCCATATCCTCCCTGAGCATTCATTTCATCAAGAATACTTTTACCTGAAAACCCGAGCTTGACACAAGCGTTTACGATTCCAAACCCAACTGACTTGTCAGATTCAGTGGACAAAGATTCCAACTTGTGAGCTTCGATTATCAGTGTTACTAAACTCTTAACTCTTTTACTCTCAATAAACCCTTTCACCAATTCACAATACGTCTCCTCACCGAAACTCGAGTCTTCTCCACTTCCTTTAAGACTATGCAGTATAACATCAGAAACACTATCTAAATCACCCATCTTAACATACCCACTGATCATATTGGAATAAACGATTCTTCTACTTGCAAACCCAAAACCATCCATCGAATCCTCAAGCTCACTGACCTTCTCTCTAAGCCCTTTCCTTGCATACAAATAAGCAAGAAACCCAAAGCTCGATTCGTCAGGCTTCACACCCAAAACAGCCATAGATTCAATCACATTTTCAGCATCAGCGATCGATTCCATCTGCCTACAACACGCTTCAAGAGCCGCATTACTCGCAACCAAATCCGGTTTCATGAACTCAAGCTTCTCATCGATTGCAACTCTACAACTTTCCCTAAACACCTTAAAAAACGCAGCTAATCCGCCGTTTTCCCGACACATATCGACAATCAAATGCCCCCAGAGATCGAAAGGAACAAAGTACCTGTTTTTAAACATACACTTCACCAAAGCCAACGCAGGCGCTGCAGCTTTGGCCAGTCTCATGGACTCCATAAGCGTAATTAGAGTTTCGAATTCGAGCAAAATCGGATCTTTCTCGATGACGTAAGCAGCGGAGACAAAAGCTCGCTTGAGCCTGTGTCTGAGGGAAGAGTCTCCGGCGTGGAAGGAGGACAAATGGGTTATGAGGGAGTTGAGGAGAGGCTTGTCGGGGAGAGAAGAAGCGGCGGCGAAGGATCGGAAGACTTTCCATGCTTGATCAGTGTCGTGGGCAGTTAAGGAATGGCGAAGAGTAGATTCAAAGGAGGATTTTTGGAGTTGGGTTAGGGTTTTGAGGGTTTTAGGAGGCGATGGAGTGATTGGTTTTGGGGAAATCGCAGAGGAAGTAGAAGAAGAGAATGGTCTTTGTGAGATTGAAGTTAGAGTTTTTCTCAACATCCGAGGAAGAAGGGATTGTCTTTGTTTTGTAAACGAACATATCAAATCCATTTCCTCTGTTTTGTATGCTTTATGAAAATGTATTTTATAACATCATCAATATTTGATGAATATTTCATTTTTCCCATTCTATTACCAATTTACCATAACCGATAACTTTTTTTATTTTCTTCAATCGATCACTTGAAATTCTCACCTTAGTGAAGGTGCAAGTCATAGTAAAGATTTGGGATAGTTTTCGATTTGATGAAATAGAATGCTTGATTCAAATTGGGTTTTTGCTTCCCTTGACGGAGAATTTTCTTTCCACGCGACAAATTGGTTTACAGGGAGTTGCCGAAACCAAAGATGGAGATGAAGCCATTGCAGTTTGATGTTGATTTGCCTGGACTGGGCCAAGTCTACTGCTTACACTGTGAGTACGACAATCTTGTATCTTTTAGTTCTCCTTTTGCATAAATCTCTTTGGACTCTTTGGTGTACGAAACTTTATTACAAAATATAATCTTCAACCTCTGTATATGTTTCTGTTTTGTGTGATTCACCATTCCGAATTGATTCAATCTTCCTTCACGAGTTGTATTTGTTTTGTCTGAGGTCGTTGTTTACTACTGTACTTGCAAGTGCAACTAAGTCACTCCTTTCATTCCTGTCATTATAAGAGTAACTCTTCCTCTCTGTTATCAAGAATTGCAATACTCTTGTAAACCTCGGTTTTGTTTTCTTGTGATAACATTCTCATTCTCTTCTTTTATTAAGTTTCACTGCTTATACCACTACCAACATTTGTTCTTTACCTTTGCGCAAGGTTCACGATAAATCCAGATAGAGTTTATAGGATTACCATGAGGAAGCTCAATACAACGGCTGATATTCTACATGTCATGGGTCGGATTTGCGTGCTTATGTGATGTCAGGTGGTGGCATATAACATTCATAAAAAAAAAAATTGAAGCCAACAATTAGAAGCAAGCGTTGCTTTTTCCTATTCCCGAGAAAGGGCATCATTTGTGTCGAAGTCAAGAAGAAGATAGGCCAGGTTTTTGCTTTCTCTACATTCATTCTGCATACACTATCTTTCTTTTAAATAAACCCTTGTTTGAACAAGCACATGAAATGTTGGCAAGCCTAATTTCCTTTGAAAACTTTATAGAGCAGATTACTAACAATCATTATGATACTAATGTGGACAAACAAACAAGGGTTTATTTCAAAGAAAGATAGTGTAAAAAGTTG